GAGGAAACTATAATCAGAAGTTGAGAAGAAAGTTCACGAGCCAATACATTATTTTCTCAGATAAATAAAAACATACAATTTTTACTTCTGTACATCGATTGATCCTCTCATTCGATATTTTAACTCTTTTGCTGCTTTGAATAAAATATTTTGTTATAATAATATCATTGCACTGCTATGGACGAGATATCTTATTTTGCAATACCATTCATGTGACTATGATAATACATGATAATATATTTTCTTCTATTTTTTGTGTTCATAGTTGAATTTCACTTATGCATGTTTTACTTCTGTATCTTTTGCATACAATTTTTTAGATGATGTATTAGGTTGTTCTAATCTAGATTGTATTTTTTATCTTAAAAGCCAAGAAAAGTTGAATATTATTCAAATCATTGTAAAGTTTGTATTTCTTTTAAGATTCTTTTTTCTCTGTGTTCAAAATTTTCTTTTAGTTTGAATTAAAAATTATGGAATGTTTGACAATAAAAAGAATTCTTGTTATTGAAATATCTAATAAAATGTATTTTTTTTCACTTTAAATTACTTTAAATCGTTTGAAATAAACGAGAAAGATTTAGAATTGAATACGTTTTTATCTATTCTAATTTAACTTGCATCGTTTATGTTCAAAACAAAATTTCATTTCAGAATATTTTATGGATAAACGTTTTAAATAATTGATTCGACCATTGTATGATAAAATGGAATATTCAATAAATATCCATCTCAATATTTTTTCAGATTTTTGGAAAGCTATAACAGTAAAGAAAATAGTTATGGAAATAAACGTTTTGAAATTACTCTCAAAATAGCAAAAAATATGTTTTTCCATTGAAAATTCAATGTGTGTTTCATTGTTTCGTTGCCATCAATCATTACGTTCTCTATTTTTTAATTCGATTATTATAGAAGAAGACGAAAAATAATTTTTTTATATAAATATAATGAAACAATTTGTAATTTATTAAAAAAATATTTTTCTAAAAATATTACGCGAACTTATTAAATCTAATATTTTGCATTCTAATAAATGATACAAGAGACATCTCGTTTAAAGCATTAATGTCATATCATCAACTATAATGGCGAGATCAACTGTCGCAAAACTTCGAAACAATTTAATGTTTCATCCTATCAACTCCATAATAGAAAATCAATTTTAAAATAAAATAATTTTTAATTTTTTAATTTTATCAATTTATAACGCTACATTTTATAATGTTTTTCATCTTTAACATTTAAAAAATACTATTTATTATTTACTATTATTTAATCCATAAAAATCTATAATTTAAAAAACTATTATGTATTATATAACTTAATTGTTGTTGATAAATTAATCTTTCTTTTAATTCGCGGACACTTTGTTAGATTGAAATCATATGTTTCATGAAGAGAAAATTTTAAAATTTGTACATAAATTTACATGGAATTTCTATTCAAATAACACATCAGCAATTTTTTTTTTTACAACAACAAAAATTGAATACCGATTGTAATACATATAATAAACCTAAGTAACATCTTTATGATAATTGAAATGTATTATCTTATGTTGTGGGATACAGACATTTTCTTCTTGAAAACAGTGGCTCTTTGTGAAACATTATGATTCAACACGTATAACCAGAACGGCTGCAATCATTTTGTCCCTGGAGCACTTAAAACAACTACAACCATCTTGTCCCCAAACAACGATTACAGTTATCTTGTTCGCAAACGTGTTAAAAAAAAAGAAAGTATGAAATGAAAGGAATACTTTTTATCGCTAACATAAATTTAAATTCAAGTCCTACTGCCCGATATAATTCGTCAAAGTTGTAAGCATTTATCATAAATAACCGAGGAACTTTACTTTATATCTCTTCGAAAAATTTGCATCCAATTTACAGAGTGATTTATCAGATATTATCAATTTATTTCATATCATTGTTATTATAGCGAAAAATGATGTTTCAGATAGAAGTAATTGAGTGACTGGTTGATAAAGGAAAAACATATTTTGATATTATTAGATTTTATATAGATAAAGGTTATATGTGAAGGTTATAATGTTTTTTAAACAAAATCATTTTAAAAAGAATATTAATTTGCTTATATCCAAAAATCATTAATTTAGAAGATATATTTTAAGTATTTGGAGTTTGTAAAATTTATCATATAAAAGAAAAATATTCTATTATTTATGTCCTGTTTGTTTTTTATATGGTAAGTTTTACAAACTTTAAATTAAAACATTTTCTAAACTAATGATTTTTAAATATACAAAATATTAAATTGTATCAATTGTAAAAATACTTCCATTTAAAAGAAACCATTTTAATGAATTTCATTTGTCTTTTATTTATAAAAAATAACATCAGAATATGCATCTCTTGAAATTTAATAACATATTTATTATATGGAGATAATAATAATGATGATGAAAATCGAGATGATAATGTTTGATGAATCACTTTATATAAACAAACATTTATATTCTTTAGTTATTATTATTATTATTATTTTTGTTATTTATTTATGTCATTATTTATTAGATAATAATAACATAATTTTATACATTAATTTATTGAACAGATTAATTTTAAATGAATGTAAAATTCAAAATAATTAATTCGATAGAATAATTAATCTAATGTTAAAAATAATTTGTCGCTCTCAAAAATCTTATTTGCAATTAGCATTAATATATTTTAAATATCATACGATGCATTATTGTACGACTTATTTTAGATTTACTTTCCCGTAATATATGATTGATAAATGCAATCCAAGTTGATGCTTGCTACACATTAATAACAATGTTGAATCTATATAGTCATTCAACTACATGTTTCAGAACAAAAATTGGAACAAAGAAGTAATTAACTTATTAACTGACCTGGACACGACAATGCTAATATAATACAGACATTTCAAATGCAAAGGCTTAACTCTCTCACAGTGTAATCAAATAACAAAATATTTAAAACAAAAAAATAATTATCTACATCAAGATGTTTGAAACTTTTAATATTAAGCACAAAAAAATATTTTATTTTCAATCACTTGTAATAAAAAATATTAATAATTTTATTATCCACTTAATAATATTGTATATGACTGACAAATATAATTTCGTTGATTACATATTATTACACATTACACATTAATAATAATGCATGTAATTACTTGATAGGTAACCACATATCTCTTTTAAGACAGAAGTTGGAACAAGGAAGTAATTAACTTATTAACTGACCCGGGTACAACAATGCTAATATAATACAGGCATTCCAAGTCCAAAGTATTTAACTCTCTCACATATATACTTGTAATAAAATAACAAAGTATTTAAAACATAGAAATAATTATCTCTTCTACATCAAGGTTTTTTTTTTAAATATTAGACAACAAAAAGGATACATACATTTCAATCAATATTATCATCCATAATAGAATTTAATTTTCTTTCATTCGAAACAACTTTTGTTTAATTCAGTATCTCTCCATATCCTCTCCAAAGCCACATTACGCGAATTCTCTCGTCACATTTGGTCCCCAAGAAACGCTCTTCCAACTTTCCTCTTTTTTTTCCCCCCCTCAACCTCTCGAATATTCGCGAGAAAGCCGAGTTCTCCAAACAAAATAGTGTCTATCCTGTGAGAGGCGAGCAGTTCCAACGAGCGTGCGACGAATTCCGGATACGTTTCCACGCTCCGGCAAAAGGGACGCTCGCGTATACTTCCGTCTCTGTGAAAACCTATCAGAACAGCCATCTAATATTTGCACGCGATATGCGAACACGCGCGCTCCACGTGAAAAAAGAATCCTATTTGCCGTCCAAAGAAGACTTCTTTTTTTTTTTTCCTCCGCGCTGATTCTCCCAAAGAAAAGGGAGAAAAACTTGTAAGTGGATTACAGGCAGGGGGTAGAAGGAATGGAAGTTCGTACAGTGATTTTTTTCCCGAACTGTGGAATTCGTGGAGAGACACAGGAGGGGCTCCGTGCTGGCTCGCATAAATTTTATGCCGGGCAGATATTGAAAATTCACCCATCCCCCGGTGCGCGAAAACTGTTCAATGTGCTGAGGAATGAGGGTTCTGCGAATAGTGCGAATACGCATAGGGCTTGGCCATTTTTGTAAATTTTTTTTATCTTTGGACTTTTTTCCTTTTCTTTGTTTCATTTTTTCCCTTATTAAGACACGGAGACAATTCTGTTTTTTCTTTTCTTTAGAAACATGAGAGCATGTTTTCTTTTTTTTTTTTTTTTAAATGTGTAAATATTAAGAATTTTATTTGTTGAGTTTTCTATGTTTTTGTTTTTTTTATATCTGCGAATACTGGTCATGTATATTCTAAAATTTAAAAATAAAGGAGAATAAAAAGTTTTTATTAGTCTGATGGAAAGAAAAATGCCGATATTTTAAGGAGTTTATTAGAAACGTAGAAACCTTGAAAGCTTTGAAGTTCAACAAGTTTTAAATTCTCGAAACTTTTTGTAATTCGAAACTTTCGAAAAAGTAAAGAATAAAAATTTTTCACGCGCCGAAAGAATTGCAAGTAATTTTCTTTTTTGATTACAATCTCGAATTTGAGGAATTTAAAAATTAATATTTTAATATTGTAAAAAGAAAAAAAATAAGCATTCTGAATTTCAAGAGTTTCGACTTTCGAGAGTTTTGAGAGGTTCGAGTGTTTCGAGAGTTTCGAGGGTTTATAAAGATACGGATTTCATAAATTTAAATGTAGGATTCTATGCATTTTTAAGTATTTATTTCTATGTAGCATATTCATATGATATTTTCTAAGATTATTCGTTTTATTTTTTTTATTTATATTCTATTCTAAAATTCATAAAGTCAAAAACAAATAGATATTTCATATTCTTATTCTTTTCTTTAGTGATAAAATTGCAAGTATTCAATTATAATTCAACTACATATTATCTCATAAATAATATCGTTTAAAAAGCTTAATTTCAATAAAAAAATATATAATTTTCTTTTTAACGTATTTCTTATCTTTTTAATTACAAAGTTTGTCTAATATGTATGTTTATGATCTGTATTTTTAAAAATTTTATTATTTAAAAAATATTAATATTATAGATATATTAAAAAATTATTAATTATAATATTTTTATTTTTTTCTTATTATTGCTTTCGATACGTGTACAGACAATGTCATACTTCAAAATTTTTTTACCATTTCCAGCATCCAACAATAATTTTTTTATTTATTAATTGGCTCATGAATGATTGGATCAATGATCAATAAAATCATAAAAAATGCAAACGAGAACAGAAAGAACAAGAAAGATATTCTCAACAATATTAAAACATATTATTTATTTTATAAAGCTGTGATAATTTAATTTTAAAAATTACTAATATATTCTTTGATATTTAATTGAACTTTGATATTATTTATGATAATGACTCGATATAAATATTTATTTTTAACATATAATATACTATACAATAATATTTGAGATATTTAAAGAGAAAATGCACAGATATTTAACTTCATTCCGTTCCCTAAGAAACAACGATTTCGCGTTAATTTTTTTCATCAGTGCAAAGTTAATTATTTTGCACGACATCGACAGACCACAGTTACGTGTCCTCGAGGCTGGCACGCGAACCGTGGCAAGAGAAAAAGAACTAACGCTTGTCATTGGCCGGAGTTTCACGCGAATTTCACCTGCGAGTATTACTCTAATAGGATTCAGCAAATTACTTACCAACTGGTCCCGCGGTGCACGCTCTAATTCCCTCTGGATTTTGTGACCTGACGGGAAAAGAACGAATTAGTATGTTTCCAACTGAGAGTGGTCGGAGGTTTACCAAAATTGTCCGGTAAATGGCTACGATTAAGCAATCGTGTGTTTGATTCTCTATTAATAGTAACACTTTTCGTTGCTTAAGAATGGTCTAATTACAAAGTTGTAATTTTTTTTTTGTTAAATTAATTAATAAATTGTAATTTGTCGTATAAATAATTTATGAGAAATAAGTTTTAGAATTTTGTTTGGCAATCAAATATTTTTTTGTCAAGGAAATAACGAATTAAAGAATTTAAAGATTTTTTTATTACTTCATATTAAATAATTTCCTATTTTTGTATTAAATATAATATACAAACAGTGTTGAGTGACTAAATATTGAACTCGAGTAAAAATAAACACTAAAGAATTAATAAATATTATATATAAAAAGCTATATAATGAAAAAATAATTTATGAGAATGATAATAATAAAAATTAAAAAAAGAAATGATCAGAAAATTATCGTTTCGATTTAATTTTAACTTAATAAATATATATTATTGATAAATCTTTGTTTTAATTTTTTCTAAATTTTTTCAATTTCGATTTGTAAATATAAAAGATACAATTACTTTTTATTAACAATAAACAAAGACAAATTATTAATTTATTATTCATTTATTAATAAAAAATATGATTAGATACAAGATTGGATACATTTAAATCTACATTTTTTTTTATATAAAATAATAGTTATTTACATAAAACAATCCACAATGTATAATTTACGTGTAATAGTAATAATCGAAAACAAAACTATACACCTCTTATTATAAGCATTTTTAATGCATTCCAATTGTCATGTATGCACTTCTATATACATTCTATATTTTATTTATAAAATAATGTATTGTTTCAAAAAAAAAAAGAATTACAACTCTTTAATCTCTAGTTGAATTATCGGTTTATTCGATCTTGTTCACTTTCCACGAAATAAAATATGTATTCTCACGAACTACCCAATCCCCTTAAACTTGAAACAAATCCAAACAATTAGTCCAATCCAGTTAGTCGAAACTTGCTTGAAATCGGTGAGAAGAATCTTCCAAGTTCGATTTCGACTTGATCAAATCTTTCGTTGCTATCCGAAGTTTCGAGAAAACAAAGAAGAAGTCAGTGAAGCGGATGAAACAAGAGTAAAACGCTGTAAAGCGTGATAATTAGCCTATGCTTCCAGTTTCATTGAGAATAATCATTAATCATTAAGACGGATATATTAATCAATGGATATCAATCCAGTCTATTTTCTTGTATATGAAATCAATACTCAACAGGCTTTATTCAAATATCGAACGAAACCGTTTTTCAATTTTTCGAAACAATGATAAGAACAAATTTGTTCATTGTTCGTCCTTTATTGGAGTTATTTTATTCTTTAGAATTTCAAATCGCGGGAAGACCGAATAATTAGAGACTGTTTATCTATCTTTTTTTAATTCGGGTAAGTTCGGCTAGGTTCGTTCGAACTCGTGTGAGTAGAGTCGAAGTGTAACTGCGAAGCTTAGTGTATACAAAGTGTCAATATATTTTAGAGGTCAAAATACATATAAAAATTGATATATATAAAAATGTAATAAAGATTATTTATTAATATATATAACAATTGAAATTTGCATTAGACGAAGTAAAACAAAAATAAAGTGAGATTAACATCGTCTTATGAAATTTGCTAAATCAAAATTAAAAATTATCAAAGATAAACGTATACATTCGTAATGAAGGTATAGAGAAAACACTCCAACTAAATTCATAAAACAAGAATTAAAAATTATATCTTGTTTGGAATAAACTAAAAAACATTAAATCCAATTAGTTAAGTGTTTTCAAAGAATAGAAAAAGAGTCATTGCAAGATATTCATTGAACTTCTGACTTGTTACACAATCAATTAGAAGTTTAAACACGTTCCGTTTTATTGCTCTTGGATTATTGGTAGTAAAACACAATTGAAACGAGAATCCATTTAACTTATATAATCATATAAAATTGATACACTTTGCACAATAAATTCAAATTATAACAAATGTAAAAATATAAAAAGTTGGATAAAGTATCTTTAAAATAAAAAAATTCTCTTATACTGTCTTTGTTTCTGTTTCATTTAACGAATTTAAATTAGTAACGAAGTTAATCAACATTTTTGTATACCATTTTTTTTTGTTTATTTTGTTCTCTAAAATCGATCAAAAGTGTTCCATAAATGTATTAATCCTACAATATATATAATTTTCTTTTTATATTAAATTTGATTTTTCTTTTTTTGTTTTCTTTAGATAAATAAGTTTTGTGCATCACGAGAGATGTGTTTTTAAACAAACTTTTTCCTTACACAACATTGCTTTATTTTATACATCTATCTCAATAGATTACATCTTTGATATAATAAGATTGTAAAACTAAATTATTAAATTAAAAAATTCTATAAGAATTAATAAAAAATTTATCTGAAACAAGAAGTATTATATTTTTTATTTAACACTTATTGAAAATCATACGTATATTAATTAGAATTCGATACTGATAAAAACAGATTTTTGTATTTTTCATCGATTAATTATAGAAATCTAATAATTTATGTTATAATGTAACCGTATAATTAAATATTTAAAAATTAAAGTAATGTTGCTATCGCAAATAGATAATAATAGTCATGTAAATGTTAACATCACAATATATGCTAAATAATTCAATTAAAATATTTTTTATACACTTTCGAAATATACTTTTTACAATATCTTTTTCCCCTAAAAAAAGAAAACACGTGTATCAAATGGCTGGCGGCGTTTCTGAATCCGTCAAGGGGAGAATTGGCGTTGTTCGGGATCAAAAGGGAGCAACACGAGAGCGACTTTACGCCAACGGTGGTCCAAGCTAAGCCCTGGAGCTTAGAGACCTTCCCCCATTCTGTTCGAGTTGGTATAGAAACATCAACCAGATAACCCGAACTCGGGTTATGTCATCCGTGAGAAATACGTATTAACGGATATCTCTTGCTCTTCCGTGAGAATTTGTTCATTTCTTTCTCCTTGGAAAGAGGAAGAGAGAAACAAAACCGTGCAAAACCATACTGTGTCTCTAAATGCGCATAATTGCACGAATTGCGACATCATGAAAAACGTGGACGCTATAATTATCCGACTATTTACTGTTACGGGGTATCTATTCTATTCTAATTTCGTAACTAATCTTAGATTTCATTTATAATAATATACATTTCTGTCTAAATTTATTAGATTTGGATTACAAGTCATTAGATTCATATTGTCCTGTGCTTATAATATAATATTTACATTTTGTTCATATTTTGATTAAAAATATAAAATTAGATAGAATTTCAATAATGCAGATTTAACACTCTAATCGTAACACTCTAAAGATTATTTGTAATTCTTACTGTCCATTAAATGCTAGACAAATTACATTTTAATAAGAGTTGTTCAAGTTGAGATTAGTAAGTCGAATGGTCACTTTGTTGAATCTGCATTATACATGCATGTATTCTGGGGCCCGATGTCTTAATCCCCTTTTCGCTGAAGTCACGTTTCCAAGAATTTTAGGGCATTCCTCAGAGGAACAATCTGAACTGTATCCATTAATTTAGCAATTTAAGAAAGAGATTATGGTTTCGATTGATCAAATGAAATTAATAAATCGTAATTAAATTTACAGATTATATTAATTAATATCAATTTTGTATCGAACAAGCAACAGAATTACAATACTTAAAAATTAAAAAGGATGCTCACGACGAAAAATTAACAATAAGAAATATTTAAAGATTATCTTTATCGGATTATCGAGTCACGTAAATTTTTTTTCAAAATTTATACAAGGAATAGATCCAAAATCAAAATGGATAGTATTATAAAATGAAAAAGACAAATATTATACTACATTAGACAATCATAAATATTTATTTTCACTATTATCGAGTTCTAAATTTCTTTTCAAAATTTATATTAGGAATAAACTATTAGATTTTAAATCAAAGCGGATAATGTAAAACGAGAAGACAGTCACGTTTAGTTTCTTCGATAAAATTACAATTGTCGCAGAGATGATATATTCCATTAAAAATAATTATTATCTAGAATTCGTATTAAGAATTATTTTATTCCATTTTAAAATCATTGTATTAACTTTTATTTTAATAATGAATTAAAAATTTTTATAATGAAAAAAATATTTATCATACAATAACACTCACAGAATCAGGACTAGAGTACATAAGTTGTATGGAATAATAGAAAACTTGAGAATTGCTAATTCCTTTTTTTTTTTTCGTTCCCTCACTGGCTATGAGAAACGAGAGAGAAAAAACATTTCTTACAATTAAGATGCGTATCTTAAATTTCTAAAGGTCGCATGCATGTTTCGAAGTTTCAATTTCAGAATAATTCCATTAACAGACAGTTAAACGAACAGAAACAGAAAGTGCGACAGTTAACCAAGAATTGCTGTACTCACACTAGTTCCTTCGAATTATCAAAGACGAGATATCTCGCGAAGCAGTGTCGTTCATGAAATGCTGTAAACGATTCAAACTTTTATGCAAACTAACTCAATTAAACTTTTATCCAAATTAAACGAGATATTCCGAGTGATCCTGGAATTCTAGCGAAAAGATAAACAAGATATCTCGTCCATAGAATCCCACGAATTGCTTGGCTAGATGTCTTCATTCTTGGTATCGAAAAGGCTGGGACGATCGATCTTTGAAAATTAATCCGATATTCATCAAAGAATCTCGATACGCACATCACTTTCATCATCTAAACATATATGTGTATATTATGACACTCGTCAAACACTTATTGATGAATATACGAATATACGAACTGATCGTAAAAGGGATATTGGTCAAAGTTGGCGATATTTCGAGCGCAGGGGAAGGTTGAAACGACAGATCATACGTAACGTCAGTCGAGGACGAAATTAGCGCAACCAGATGAGCAGATAACTGA